AACTTGTTTTCTCATTATGTGGTGGATATCTAATATTTTCAATATCTACAGTTCCTGATCATCTCAGAGATTTGACATCCTGCACCTCCCATCAAATAGTTTAAAAAAATTTTTTTTAAGTTTATTTATTTTTGAGAGAGAGACAGAGAGGAAGTGCAAGCAGGGGAGGGACAGAGAGAGTGAGACACAGAATCTGAAGCAGGCTCCAGGCTCTGAGCTGTCAGCACAGAGCCCAATGCAGGGCATGAACCCACAAGACGTGAGATCATGACCTGAGCCGAAGTTGGACACTTAACCAACCGAGCCACCCAGGCACCCCAACTAGGTTTTATATTGCTCATCCCCAATACCTCCAAGAATTACGTCCTGTCATGAATTTAAAATTCCAATTATGTTTTAAGAATGTTTTTTAAATTTTTTAAAATTTATTTATTTTGAGAGAGAGCAAGCAAGAGAGAGGCACAGACGGGGAGAAAGAATTCCAAGCAGGCTCTGCCAGCACAGTCCAGTGCCAGGCTGGATCTCACAAACTGTGGGATCATGACCTAAGCCAAAATCAAGAGTTGGATGCTTAACTGACTGAGCCACCCAGGCACCCCATATATTTTTAAAATTTTTATAGAGGTCCTTCTACCTTTGGGTTTGGCTAGGCTTTCAAATGATGCTAACAAGACATTTGGTGCTCAGAGCAACAGCAGTAGAATAGCAAATTTCTGAGTCTCTTACCCAGAGAAACACAGTGTCCTCACTGCTTACAGATAAGGCATGAGTCAGTCTGTTATCTTAAAATTAATTACAGCAGTAGTAAGAATCTGAGATTGCATCTCATCTTCAGATGTCTTGATTTTTAGGTGAGGAAGCTAAGGCCTGGGGAGGATGTGAAATATGCTAGTCAGGGTGACACAGCCCGGTCCCTTTGGGGAATAAACACACAATGTAAATGTATTTGAAGAATAAATGAACTTCAGATCAATGGCTACTTTTTAAGGAACAAATACATTTCATAAAATAAAAGTTTTAAAAATCCTTTAATTTGGAGATCCAAAAAAATTTCCTTCCTCAGTTATCCATTTTGAATGGACTTTGTAGTGGGCATTTAAAGAAGAAAAAGGATGGAGCACTTGGGTGGCTCAGTTGGTTGGGTGTCCGACTTTGGCTCAGGTCATGATCTCATGGCTCATGGGTTCAAGCCCCATGTTGGGCTCTGTGCTGACAGCTCAGAGCCTGGAGCCTGCTTCAGATTCTGTGTGTCTCTTTCTCTGTCCTTCCCCACATACATGTGCGCTTTCTTTCTTTCTTTCTTTCTCAAAACTAAACCTTTAAAAATTTTTTAATAAAATAAAGAAAAAAGAAGCCTTTATTGTACAAGTGAGAGAAGAGTCTCAATCCTCAAGTCCACTTTGAGAACCTATATTAAAATACATGACCCCTTAATAAATTAGTTTTCTTTCTCCTCTGTTCATTCTGTTCTTCCCTATACAAAATAATCTTTCCTTTATCAGTTAGGAATGGATTCTAATGTATGTTCATTTCTGATAATCTCTGTAAGCATCATTCTAATAATCTGGTGGCCTCTCTTTAGAATAAGGGTATTTGGTCTTATTTGTTTAGCCAAACTTAACTGAGGGTTCAAGTCCTCAAATTACCTAAAGACAAATGGGAAACATACATGCCAGCAGTCACAGTATAATGTGGTATTTGCCTGACAGTAGCACTCAATAAATGTCTGACAAATGAATAAGGGCACCTGGGTGGCTCAGTCAGTTAATCATCCAAATTTGGTTTCATCTCAGGTCATGATCCCTCAGTTGTGAGACTGAGCCTGGTGTTGGCCTCTGTGCTGAGCATGGAGCCTGCTTGAGATTCTCTTTCCTTCTCCCTCTGTCCTTCTGATTGCACATGCATGCACATTTTCTCTCTCTCAAAAAAAAATAGGTAAATAAATGTCTAGCAAATGAATAAATTAAATGGAAATAATGTTAAAAATAAAGGACCCTCTGAGTCTTTATGCAAAGTCAGGGAAGGTTTCACAGATGAACTGAGATTTGAAGAATGATACAAAAACAAGAAGGAAGCTGTATTAACCGAGGGAACAGCATAAGCATGTGTTTAGATTTACATTTATTTTTCAGGGAAAGACCCATCATCTGCTTTTGTAATTTTTTTTTTACTAAAACTTATATGATTTCTAAAATCTGATGTTTCTGAAGATTTCAGGAACCACATTTACTTGACCTAACTTATCAAATATCCAATCTGACAAGTGACAAATGAAAAACTACCTATCCTATATTTAAAATTGATAGGAAAGTCCTTTTACAGCATTTCTCTTCAGTTTATAATTTATTTGAATTATTTTTGTGCCATTATTCTGAAAATTTTGACATTATGTCTCTTTAAAAATAATCAAGTTCAATAAGTGAACTTTTTCAGAGCTAGGCTACAGTGCTATTTGACACCTTATTTTTAAGTTCTCATATTCTGCTTCAGGAAGATAATAATGTTCTTGAAATATTTGTGTTTAATAGCTTATATATGTTAATCTGTATGTTTCAACTATGTTTTTAAGAGGTAAAGGAAAAATGTTAAAAGAATGAACTAAAAATTAACATTTCCAAAAGAAGCAGTTACTAGCAGTAGAATCAACCACTGCTACCACCACCATCTAATCGACACTGGATCCTGATATATATCCATCTTGGATGATAGTGGTGGCATTAGAACATTTCTCTGTATATTGTTTAACACCCTGGAATGTGTTTGTTGTGTATGCAATTCTCATTTGCCTAGGCCTGAGTTACAGGTTGCTGCCATTTGTCTTTCTATGGCTTGATTGTAGAATTCATGAAAAAAATAAATTAACTTGAATTTGAACTATAAACTCATATGTCCCAGTCAGTGGCATTTGTTGTCTGTCCTGATCACTGGACACTCCTGTCTGAGTAATAGTAAACCCAAAGAGAAAGGTGGGAAGAAAACCATCTTTACTTCCCCAGCTCTTAAGCACAGGAAATATTCCATTAAAAGGTACAAACTATGTGTGGGTAATTAGGGCTATTGCCTTATGTGCAGCTAGCACATTTAAGCCCATTTACTTATTTCTAAAATGTTGCTTAGTAATGAAAATCAAATTTCTCCACCTGTCTCCTTCCTCTTCTGATCTATTCCCTGTAAGTTCATTCACTTTGAGATCTGCCTTAATCTTTCAGCATATCTTCAGACTCACTTCTGATTCACGTTTTGGGCTAGCAAGAACCTAGAAGTTATTTGGAATTTTTTGTTAACAGTAATAAGATTTTGTTTTAAGTAATTTTCACCTGAGTCTTTACCATTAACAATTACCGTTTACAGCGTACTTAATATATATGTATTAAGAGAATGTTTGTAATATGAACTCATTTTATCTTAATAACCCCTATGAAATAGGCATTGTTACCTATATTCAGATGTAAGTAAGACTCAGATTAATAACATGCCCAAGATCATAGAGCTAACAAATAGCATAGAGAGGATTAAAACTAAGTCTCTCTGACTTAAAAACCCAAACCTGAGCTCTTCAAAATACACATTTCCAGCATTCCATTTATACATCTGATTCCTCTGACTTGTGGACTGCATTTGCAATCTGCATCCAGAGGTTAACATTTTAACCCTGATTTCTGAGGATGGATTAAAATTTAAATGCCTAGATCCTTTTACAAAGCAAAATATAATAATAAAGATGATTCCTCAGATTCCTAATAGCCCAAAGAATGAATCAGAATATAAAATGTAATTGTGAAGTTGGTTAGATTTTGATTTTGATTCTTTTTCTCAATTTCAGTGCATTTATCACTGTGTAATCTAGCATTAGCTGAAATGTCTGTATAGAGTAAAAGTTTTTCAACCTTGCCTATAATCCTCCCAACAGAAATCTTAAGTTTTTAGTCCAATTTATCAAATTCTATTTTACCAATTTTGAGCTATGTGGCCTTACAAAAGTCCGTATTCTAAAATATTCCCACTGTAAATTTTGCTGCTTCTATTAAAATCCTCTTTGGATAATTCATATTTAAAAAATAGTTTGCTTTCCCAATTTTTACATTTTTTTCCATGGGTTCTTAAGAATTTAGGGAAAGTTAAAATAGTTTATTGGTTAAGAGTTCTGATTCTGGAATCAGACTTGTATAATCAAAGTCATAACAATTAATATCTGGTAGACACCAGGAATTTACTTAATCTCTCTGAGCCTCAATTTTCTTTTTTATAAGGTGGCTATATGACCCATCTCATAAGGTCATTGTAAAAGTTACAAGAAGCACTTTTCACAATACTTTGTACACTAGGGGTTAAACTATTACTATTGTTAATTTAGATTTTGCAGTGTGTTCTTTGTGAAACAGACTAATAGTATTTTAGGGCTAGAAGAAATCCTTACTGATCATTCAATCTAGCACCCCTATATTTCCTATGACACAAAAGTCCAGAAGAAGGGCAAAAACTAGTTTGAGGGTTTTTGATGAATTGGTTATGAACCTGAAACTAAAGTAAACCCAGTATTTTCACGGATAGAAAGGTTCTGTTGCTATTGTTGTATTGTCTTGTTCTTTTCACTTCTATCCATTGATTCTTTTTTTTATAGAAAAAATCCATTGAAACTATTCAGTTTCCATTTTAGCTTTGCAACTATTTTAATGTCATAGTAGATTGGCATGAATACTTTATTTCTTTGCTTAGCTAGCTTTTATTCACACCCAGAATGGCTCAATCCACAGTATTAGAGATGAAGCTTTGCTATTAAGCAGTGTAAGACAAAGCTAAAACAAACCTGTGGTCATTTATGGTTTGATATGTCCTCTTAGTTTTCTGCTGATGTTCTGACATGAGACATTGCTTCCCACAGTAATGGAGCATAACTTATTAGGGTGCTGATTAAATGAAGGCCCTCTGGTCCATCTATAAACAATAGTGATTTCAATATGGGTAACAGTATTTGGTCTCTATTTTCTCTTATGTTGTAGAGCCGACAATTAGAATCAGAAACTGGAACCACAGAGGAGCACAGTCTAAACAAGGAGGCTCGAAAATGGGCTACACGTGTGGCACGTGAGCACAAAAACATTGTTCACCAACAACGGGTAAGTGTAGTAGAGAGTCCTAGGCTACATTTAGCTCAAGCCAAATGTCAAACCAATTTAATGAGTTGAGTTTTATTAATGTGAAAAATATCCTATGTTTTTTCCATAATTTCTCACCATTCTGCAGTATGCCCTCAACTATCTGCTTAGTTTGGAAATTCCTTAAGCCTGGGGCACCTGGGTGCCTCAGTCAGTTAAGCATCAGATTCTTGATACCTGCTCAGGTCATGATTTCATGGTTCCTGAGATCAAGCCCCACATTGGGCTCGCACTGACAGTGAGCCTGCTTGGGATTCTCCTCTCTCCCCCTCTCCCTTCCCCTTCCTTGCTCTCTCACTCAAAACAAATAAATAAGGGGCGCCTGGGTGGCTTAGTCGGTTAAGCGTCCGACTTTCGCTTAGGTCATGATCTCGCGGTTCGTGGGTTCGGGCCCCGCGTCGGGCTCTGTGCTGACTGCCAGCTCAGAGCCTGGAGCCTGTTTCAGTCTGTGACTCCCTCTCTCTCTGACCCTCCCCTGCTCACGCTGTGTCTCTCTCTCTCTCTCCTAGAAATAAATAAAACATTTAAAAAAACAAAACAAATAAATAAACATTTAAAAATAAATAAATAGAAGGGTTATAATTTTTTAAAAATTCCTTAAGCCCTTCAAGCAGCAACACAGTAATTTATTTTTTTGCCATAGAATTGCTTAAGAAAGCCTAGTGATAGTATATTACTGTCTTTCAGGTAGTGGAAGAGACATGTTTATGTTGAATTAAGCTTTTAAGTCCCTAGACAAATTTTTTGAAGTCTTAATTGTAGATTCCATGAAAATGTATCTTCCAAGAGGTGCCTAGCCAGCTCAGTCAATAGAGCATGTGACTTTTGATCTCAGGGTCATGAGTTTGAGCCTCATGTTGGGCATAGAGTTCACTTAATAAAAACATTTGAATTAAATTAAAAATTAAAAAATTAAACTTAAACACCAAAAAAGTGTATCTTCAAGACTAAGCACAAAGAAATTACTTTAAGTATAGTACATTTGATCTAATTTCCATTTTTTATAACTTTTGCCTTTCTTTACCTTCACATCCAACTTATTAAAAGAATTTTTCATATTTAGTATCTATATTTCCTAATCTCTCACCAATAACATTTGGACTTTTCCTTCTTTCCTCTCCCCTGTACTTTATACAGACTACACTTGCCCAAATCACCAATGATGTCTATGCTGCTGAATCCAAAATGGACATTTTTATTTCTTAAAACCTGTTGGCAGTTTCATCACAATTGACAGCTCCCTTTGTGTTGAAACACTCTCTTCCCTAGTTACCCCTGTCTTAACATTGTCCTGGTTTTCCTTCTGCCTCTCTGGCAATTCCTAGGTTCTTCTTTCTCCACCCCCACATTTAAATACTTAAGTTCCTTAGATTTCTATACTAGGCTATTTTTTCTTATTCTTTATTCTCTTAATTCTTAATCTTATTCACAGTCTCCACCAGTGCCATGGTTTCACTTACCAACAAATCATTAATTAGTATCCCCAACACTGGGCCTTTCTTCTGTGTACACATACACTCTCTTGCCTGCTTTGACATCTTTTCACTGTCCCGCAGGCATCCCACATTCAGTGTTCCACTAATCTAATGCTATAAAACAAACTACCTAAAACTTAATGCCACAAAAAAAGAGCTTATTTTAATTGTCTTTTAGCACTCTGGGGATTGGATGGACTTAGCTTGCCACTTCTCACTTGGGAGTCTCCCATGTAATTGCAGTCAGATCAGTGCCAGAGTCACCTCACGGGCTTCCCCACTGACATTTCTGGTCTTGGAACAGAAAGACTTGAACGCTGGGGGCCAGAACAGCTAGAGCTCCTCATGCACCTCAGTTTCTATGTGGTCTCTCCATATGGTCTCTTCAGCATAGTGACTGTAGGTTAGGTGTACTTCTTGTATGGTAGCACAGGGCCCCAAAGTGTGAGTCCCAAGAGTAAGCCAAGTAGGAGCTTTGTTATCTTTTCTGGCCTAACCTCAGAAATAACATGATACAACTTGTGCCATATTTTTGTTACTGAGGCAGTCACAAAGTCCTGTTGTCCAAGTTCAAGGAGACAGAAGATAAACTCCACTTCCTGGTAGGGAAACAACAAGTTTCTAGAAGAATATGTGGAATGGGAAATATTGTAGTAACTTTTCTTAAAAACAGTCAGCCACAGTTTACCTTCTGGGTATAACAGTTCATGTCCCTCTTGCATACAAAATAAAACTCCACTTTTTACCCCAAATGTCCCAAAACCTGGCATCAGTCTTCAGTTTGAATTTTAGAATCTGGTCATCTAAATGAAATTCATGGACAGATAAGGCTTCTTGGGTGCATTTCCTATAACACAGTATATCTTAGCCAAAGAATTTGTGAACTAAAGAGGTTATCATTATTATATCCAATAAATAGTGATTAATTACTGCAGCTTGTTACTTCAAAAGGTAAAACACATAAAGAGTCTTTGTTACATTAAAATGCTTTACTGTATTTGAAAGTATACAGATACTAAAAATAAATCTTCCTCTCTCTGTTGTTAGTATCTTTCTGCTTAGGAAATAGAGAAAGGCAGATTTCAACAACTTTTCAATTTCTTTGTAGTATGACCCATGATAGACTTTAATCTTGTAGGATATAATTTAAGCAATAAAATTAAGGGGTTCTCCTTTTGGCCATGATAAATTACTCGGTATGACACTTACCCTCCTGCATAAACAACTGTAAGACTGGTCTAAGTATATGAAACAACTGTTTTCAGACATTGTACAACAGGCAATAACAGGAGTGTGAAACTTGAGAGAAAAAATAACATTGAAATTAGCCACATAACCTCCCAAGCTTTCTGCCTGAAGACACTTACTATATTGCAGTGCAGGGGGAGAGAACTTAAGCAAGACACCACAGACTCTGAGTTGAGATGACAGAAATCAGAGTTCAAAGAGCTGATGTGGCATGAATTTCAGGACAGAGTACCAGACAACATGGAGATGCAAAGAAAGAATTCCAAAAATCGACACAGGTCTCCCCTTCAATCTGTTACTGAATACTAAACCATATAACCATATGGTGACATTCTATAATACTGGGTAGAGAATGACAGAGGAGATCAGTTGAACGATTTGATTCCCAGAGATCACATAGGGCTAGGACACATTCAAGTTGTGCCTAGCCAAGGTTGAGGCTGCTCACAGTTGATGATTCATGGATCATCTCGGGCATTCAGGAGACTACAGAAGGATCATACATTGGTTCCAGGGTTAAATTAGTCCTAGAATAAGACTACTTTAGAATTAACCTAACACAGCTTTAAAACAAGCTTCAGAAATATCAAGCTATTCCACAGATAACTTATTTGCCTGCCTGAAAAAAAAATCTACTCTTCCTAGGAAGGAAATAAAAAACAATATTTAACAACATAGTATTTACTATGTCAAGAATAAAATTTTCAGGACACCTATGTGGCTCATTGATAGACCATCTGACTCTTGATTTCAGCTCAGGTCATGATCCCAGGGTCATAGGATAGAACCCTGCATCGGGCTTTGCACTGAACTTGGAGCCTCCGAAGATTCTGTCTCTCTGTCTGTGTGTGTGTGTGTATCTCTCTCTCTCTTTTTCCCCCTTTCCCTGCCTCCCTCCCTCTCCCCACCTGCTCTCTCTCTCTAAAATTAAAAAAAAAAATTTAATTAGAAGAAAGAATCAAATTTGGGGTACCTGGGTGACTCGGTCATTTAAGTATCTGACTCTTGGTTTGAACTCAGGTCGTGATCTCACAGTTCATGAGTTAAAGCCCACCTTTGGGCTCCTCACTGACAGCATGGAGCCTGCTTGGGATTCTGTCTCTCTCCCTCTCTTTCTCTGCCCCTCCCTTGTTCACGTTCTCTGTCTCTCTCTCTCTCTCAAAATAAATAAACTTAAAAATTATTTTAAAAGAATCAAATTTACGAGATATTAAAAGATGCAAGAGAATATGATCCATGACCAAAAGAAAAATCAATTAAAGCAGATCCATATATGCCAGAGATGATGGAATTAGCAAATAAGGACTTTAGAACAGTAAATAAGTTTCAAGGATTTAAAAGAAAACAAACATGAACATACTGAAGAAAGAAAAGGAAGATCTACAAGAACCAAATTGGTGGGGGGGGGGGGCAGGGGGGTATATAGGCTCAGTTGGTTAAATACCTGACTTTTTTTTTCTTTTAACTATGAATTACATTTATTATTATTACTGATATATTTGAACTCATTTTTACCACCGCATGTTGTACTTTCTGTTTATTTCTGGTGTTCTACACCTTATATCTCATTTCTGACTTTATTTTTTATTTTTTTTAATTTACATCCAAGTTAGTTAGCATATAGTGCAACAATGACTTCAGTAGTAGATTCCTTAATGCCCCTTACCCATTTAGCCCATCATCTCTCCCTCCACCTCTCCAGTAACCCTCAGTTCTCCATATTTAGGAGTCTCTTATATTTTGTCCCCTCCTTGTTTTTATGTTGTTTTTGCTTCCCTTCCCTTATGTTCGTCTGTTTTATATCTTAATGTCCTCATATGAGTGAAGTCATTTGATACTTGTCTTTCTCTGACTAATTTTACTTAGCATAATACCCTCTAGTTCCATCCACGTAGTTGCAAATGGCAAGATTTCATTCTTTTCAATTGCCAAGTAATACTCCATTGTATATATATATATATATACACCACATCTTCATTATCCATTCATCTGTCGATGGACATTTGGGCTCTTTCCATACTTTGACTATTGTTGATAGTGCTGCTATAAACACTGGGGTGCATGTGCCCCTTCCAAACAGCACACCTATATCCCTTAGATAAATACCTAGTAGTGCAGTTGCTGGGTCGCAGGGTAGTTCTATTTTTAATTTTTTGATGAATCTCCATACTGTTTACCATGGCTGCACCAGTTCGCATTCCCACCAGCAGTGCCAAAGAGATCCTCTTTCTCCACATC